TTTTATATTTATTATAATTTTTCAATGTATACTTAATAAACATTTATAAATAAATAAACTTTACAAAGTATATTCAAATATAATCAGAAGATAATTACAGAAAAGAGTATTATAAAACTGAAAAATGTGCGAGAGAAAAGAAATTATGAATAGAACAGCGACGATAAGTAGTTATGAGGCACCATCTAGCGTCTACTAACAAAATTTACTTTTTAGCTGTCGATAAAAAAATATTTAAAAAATTCTCGTTAATATATTTAAATTACACTATTTTTTCAAGAATAAAATGTTTAAGAAAAATAACCAAATGATTAATTCATTTTTTCAAATATTTTTTTTATTTTATTGTGTATGACGTTTGAATCACGTGCCATGTGGCGGGAAGAAAAGGCGGGAAAGCGTCAGTCATCACTGTATCAGCTGGTCAGTATCATGGCGTGGAGTTGCATGTAAGAATGATTTTTGTCTGTTGCCTTGTTTCTTCATATTTCTTAGCTCGAGAATGGATTACAAAGCACGTAGGCGTTACACGGCCGTTGCAGATGTGAATGAGCTCAACAATGATTATCCTCATGATATACAAATATACGATGTGCCGCCGGTCGGTGAAATATCACTGGAAGAGTTTCAAGAACTAGGATTTGACAGGCTGAAAGGTAGCTTATCTTCTGTGCCTTTGTATTGTAGTCAATGATTTTACGTTTTCTTCAGCAAAAAAAACACAGATGACAGTGAATCATTACATTCTTATAGTTTTCTGATGTTAAACAAAGGTGAAATGATTATGGATATTTTTTATTTAATGACACAAATCTACACAAATGTTCTATCTCTGTTACCCATTGAATGTCAAGCAAGATAAAATGATGTTTATGTTGACTTTTGTCACTAAATAAAAAGCTATTCTGCATTACAGTATTTTTTGCTGAAAAACGCCTATTATAATCATGTATTGTAATCACAATCGACTTTGTTGCAGTGTTACGGCTGGTAGAGACAACAAATTGTAGAAGCGATTTGAAAACACAGGAAGATCGCAAAAAAGCCTTCGCCGATTGTTTGAAATCTGATGGATTGAAATACTATTCAAATCTCTTATACGCTGATGGGTCTAATCCACAGTCAGAAGAGCATTCGCAGATCAGGAAAAAGGATCACATATCACATTTTATCTTAAGACTAGTGTATTGCCATGATGTTGAAAAAACTATGTGGTTCCTAAATCAGGAAGTTGAATTCTTCAAATTAAGATTTAGCTCATTAGATAAAAAGGGCATTGAGTATCTGTTAAGTATTAGCAACATGGATTGTATACCTGTATGTTTCGTTATACTTTAATAAGAGATTAAGAGCTAACATGTTATGTTGTAATCTGATCATTAATGTTTCTTAAGATTTCGCAAGATGAAAAATTTGAGCTGAAAGAGGAACTTACTTTGTCATCTGGAAAAGTTACAAATATTGATATTGCAGATGTTTATAAAGTGCCTTTTGAAAAAGTTATTGATTTGATCAAAGGCCGTAAAGTATACCTCAAAGCAGGGATGGCATACATTACTCATATGGATCTAAGTTCTGTGTTTGTTTCTTATTTTAAAGAAAATCTGGTTGCAGGATTAGAGGTAGGATTAGAAAACATAGCCTTTGTTAATTTTAAAGTAAAATTAGATTTAATTCAATTAATATTTTTTGTATTTTGCAGAATGCAAAAATTCTGTACGATAATATATCTGATGACGAAAGATTGACTAAATACTTAACAGGTCTTCCTTCAGCTTTCTCTGGAATGACGCGTGTCGTATGGTCAACTACAACCACACCTATTGATAAACTAAATGATGTAAATTAATTATTATTTTAGTCAAAAACTTAATTTTCTTAAGTTTATCTTAGTAAAATCTATTAAAAAATTTTTATAGTTATCAAAGACATCATATCCATTATGTATGAGAACACTTCACGAAGCACTCAATACCAATAGCCATTTAAAGAATTCAGGGCGTATGCAATATGGATTATTCCTAAAAGGTATAGGTGTGACTTTAGAAGATGCTCTTCGTTTTTGGAGAGATGCATTCTCAAAAAAGGCTGATGGGGTTGTATTTGAAAAAAAATACGCGTACTCTATTAGGCACTATTTCGGTAAAGAGGGAAAGCATACAAATTACACTCCATATGGTTGCCAAAAAGTTATATCTAGCTCTGTTGGACCTGGAGAATATCACGGGTGTCCGTTCAGACATATGGATCGTGATTCGCTTTGCCAAAAATTAACCAGTTTCGGCGTATTCGCCTCTAGTAAGAATTATTAATTTGGTCACTATTGTAAAAAAATCAAGATTGTTCTTTTATATATATATATATTTACATATATATTCAATCTTATATTAATTTATTGTAGATATGACTGAGATATTGGACTTAGCTAAGGATGGACAGTATCACTTAGCATGTGCCAAGTATTTTGAAGTTATGCACAATAAACCGGCAAGTAAACCACTTTTACATCCAAATGCATACTTTGCTGAAAGTCGTGCAATTTTAACCGACGACGACGGTAAAGGTAAGAAAGAAGAAAATTAAAAAAGAATTTTAGTATTCGTAAATAACATTTATGTATGCGTTTATAATATTTTATTTGCAGATGTAGATAATAAAGAAAAGTTCTCTCAAAGTACGGTTGGAACTCCTGGAAGTCTATCATCAAGGAGAAGCGATAAATATTCTACACCTTCTGGAAATACAGAATCTTTTGGAACACCAAAGAGAAATGATAGATATGCTACACCAACGAGAAATAAAGATACAGTCGACACACCTTTGAGCAAAGATCGAAGAATGAGTTATCTGACACCAAAAAGGAATAAAATGACGCCAGTAAACATCGTGGAAATGCTGAACGACGATGATTTTACAGAATTTATAGATGTAGACATGGATCAGAGTTAACAAATAGCGTGCTGTCTTCCTGTATTATAAATCTATTTATATTTTTTGTATTTAATTCACAAAAATCTTCTAAATATTTTTATCCTATTTATCCAATATCCATAATAGTCAAAAATTTTTTAATAAATACTGCTTATATATACATAATACTACTCTTTAGATCTCTAATTTTCATAATCCATAATTTTTAATTATATAAGTATTTACAGAAAAAACATTTTTCAAGTAAGGTTGATTAACTTTTAGCGTAAAATGCAGCTAACAGTGTTATTGTTTTAATAAGGTACCATTTAAAATTTCAAAAATGCTATCCTCCACTCATTTTTGAAAAAATTTTGAACTACATTTAATAAGTTTTTTGTGATTAAAAAACATCTATATTGTTATCTTATTCTTAAAATATATTATACCTTATTTGGGCTATTCTATATAATTTATATATGAAAATATAAATGAATTAATTTTTATTAATAATAAAATTAATTATTAACTTTTTACATTTGAAGAACTACAAGGAGTCGAATGTATTGAATTTATAACGTAGAAGCTCTCAAAGCATTATCGATTGAAAGAAGTCACTTATGTACAATTTTTACACAATTTATACATAGCTGTTGACTTCTTTCAGTCGGTGTTTTGTTAAAAAATTCGTGTTTACATCCTGCACCATTAACTCCACTAGCCTCTGTAAATCGTACTTATGCTGCCATCCCCAATCCCGTCGTGCTTCGCTATCGTCGAAAACTTGCGGCCAGCTTTCCGCTAAAATTAACGGAATAAAATTTCTAATTTATTTACATAATCGAATTATATAGTGTGTGTGCAAAATATTTTTGGCAAAAATAATGCCTCTCTCTCTCTCTTCTCTTTTTTATTTTGTTATCTTAAATTTCATCTCTTAGAAGCTTCGTTTACGCTTCTTCACTCTCTCCCTCTCTCTCTCTCTTTCTCTCTCTCTCTCTTTACATTCGACTTACGCTCTGATTTTTATTTTCGCCAGAGACATTATCGTACATACGTACCGATATGCTGTCGTTTGTCAGGTTTATAAGTAATTTTCAAATCCGGTATGTACTTGAAGAGTTCGTTGAACAATTCTTCAGGTGTGAAGCTCATAGCTGTGACATTGTAAACTCGTCTACGCAGTAATTTTTCAGGTGTATTCAAAAACTGAAAGAGCGCCGACAGACAGTCATCGATATATATCATCGGTAATCTCGTGTGAGGCTCCAAATAACACTCGTATCTTTTGTTTAACAATCCCTCGTGAAACACCGCTACAGCATAATCTGTAGAAGAATAAAGAAAAATAAAGCTTATTGTCAAAGCTCTCAAATGTATGACACATACGTCTTCAAATAGAATGAAAAAATTAAATAAAAAATCTACGGATAGACAAATGTAAATTTCATCTAATGATTATTCTTGGTGAGACTTTTTAATTAATTTAATAATTTATATTTCAGATGGAATCAATTCTTCTTATTATGCACTTTACAATTGATTTGTCTGAACAGATAATTTTTGTGATATAATAATAATGTTTCGATCTTTATTGACTTGCGCAAAATGCAAAAACGAGATGCATGTTTAAATTAAAACATGATGTGTTTGTAGAAACATGTTTTTTATCGACATCAATATATGTTGACAATTTATTACTGAAAAATGAGGAAAAAAAGACAAGGATCGAGACTCGTTATTATTTACCAGTAGTATTGTCCTTGAGAAACGAAACATTCTCCCATTATGTAGTTATCTTAAGCGCGGTTAATGCTCTAGTTCTTCGCAAAAGAGGTAAAAGATATCAATTTTCAGTTATCAGCCTATTCTACATGCGGCATTAAGCGTTCTTTGAGCATGAATATGATTATCTTATTAGAAATTGGAAAACTTAAACACGCAATTCGTTTGAAAAATATTTTATTTTGCTCAGCGAAAAATTAGATCGATTTACTATTTAATATAGATGATTATTTTTCAACAGATAATATTTTATGGCAGCGAATTTTAAAGAAATATCAACAGGTAAATGCATTATTTAAAAAAGCATAATGGAAAAAACGTGATGACTCATATTGCGCGCTAACAACAACGAATTCTATTTTTATAATAAAAAACAAATCGGACTAGAATTATGTATACGTTTCAAACTATATATATAAAATATAAAACATTGCAAAACATGCTTACGCGTTTTTTTGGTCATTCGTATCAATGTAGTAATAACTTTAATCTCGATTTAACTTACTTTTTACCTTTCTCTATTTCGAAGAATTAAAAAAACAGACCAGAGTAAATTACACCGAGATTAAAGTTAATCTATATTGACGTGGACGTCAGTCTTACACTTTGTTAAAAATACTGCTAACTAGTAGTTAAGAATGCATATCAGACATACAGTCTTTGCAAAAAGTGTATCTAGAAATTATACTTTCCGTCTAAAACTGAATTTTTACATACATATGAGACAATAAGAGATAAATATAATGCGTATTTAATAATACAATTTCATTATAGTTAAATAAAAATTTTCTTATTTTATTTTAATTCTTTAAAAAAAAAACATGTCTACTTCTTATTAAAATTATTTTTTATTCAAACTTTAAATCACCGCAAAAATTTGTATTACTTTTAAATATAAATTAAACGTAAAAAAATTTGTAATTTTTTCATAATTTTTTATTTTATTAAAAAGTACTTGTAATACATTTTTAAATGTGCCATCAGGGTAAGGAAAAAGTGACAGTCTCACCTGTGGTACCGCCGCCGGGTGGATCGCTGCTGATTACGCCGGGGAATCGAAGACATCGAAAGTCGAGACCAAAACGATGATGATAATACTCTCCTAAGAGCTCAGCATGGACCTTGCTAACACCGTAAATCGTACGTGGTCGTTGCACCGTGACATTTGGCGTTGGATTCCTCGGCGAGTCGGGACCAAATGCGCCGATTGTCGATGGTATGAAAATTCTCAGCTTATATTGCTTCGCTAATTCGATAACGTTGTGCATTCCTGTTATTTTGCGAGAAAAACAGATAATGAATTATATGCAGCGTAAACAAATATTTACAAAGGTTCTGAATGTTTTTAAAAGAATTATTATACTGCCTTGGCCACAAGTATAAAGCACCTCAACAAATTAACATCAACGTTTAATGTGTTTCGAAAAATAGATTAAAAAACAATTTTAATATATATAAAAGATAATATTTATTTTAATTAATTTTAATATTTTTTTGTATCTCTTTGGCTCTTTATTACCGCTCTTTTTAAGAAAATGCATTAAATTGGGGGTGCTTTGTATACTTACGACCAAGGTTGTTGTAGCTTCGCGCGACTTTCAGCCCAAGGCCCAAGACAGTCTCGATTCTGTCTCTCAAGCATGTTTTCGTAAATTGTGATATCGCGTTTCGACTGCTACTTTGTGTTCGCTTTCTCCCGGACACTTTCTTCCCTTCGTGATCACGACCGCATCATAATTAATATCGTAATGACAAATTCACTCGTCGGCACAACATTCCATTTCACTTTGAACGCAGTTTGCGGAAAACCACGTATGTGTCCTCGCACGAGAGGTTTTGCGTTCTATCAAATATTAAAGAAAAAACAAGAAGTAATAATGATAATGCTAAAGACATGCATTCTTGATCTGTTGACATGATTCAAACCTGGATCATATCGCTTTCCTCACCTTCGATATTGACTCTGACGGCTAACGGTACGTTTTGTTCGCCTACGGCGCTAAGTAGTGCGCTAAAGTGGATGAGCCAGTCGATTCTGTAGTCCACAACTATTTTCTGCAGGCCCTTGAAGTCGAGAATGTCGGCGAAGATGAAAGGTCCATTCTCTAAGCTCTCCTCCGATGGTTTGATAATGTCTGATAGTATGACATTCTCATTACCGTAATTTCGACGTAGCAACTTCGCGCATTCCGTGCCTAATTGTCCGAGACCACCTGAACAAAAATCGTATACGATGTGAGAATGCGCTTATTGTCTTTCTTAATAAAACGTAGATATCAACGTTATCCGTATAGTACTTTTGTATATTCAAAGAACCGCGAAAATGCTTCCTGATGAAATCTTGAACTACGTAGACATGTTGCGAGATCATGCCATTGCATTCACGTATGAAATATCATATCTTAATTCTGATCCGAGTTCTTTTAAAAAATGTACAATCAAATTAAAAATGTATCAAGTGCGACGTGGAAGTATAATGAAAAATAAAATCTGATCCATCTGTCTCGTATGTTTTTTCTATGTTTCCGTTTTTTCTTCTTCACTGAAGTTGAGCCGACTCGCAGCTCAACTTACGTTAAATATTACGTTTATCTGTATATAATTCTCACAAATTCTTATATTTTATGGTTGCTAATGCAGATAGAGTAGCGTGATGCAATCGTTACATTAAAAAAAAATAATTAAAGTATCTTGAAAAATTGTTAAAATAGTTTAATGTGAGAAATATCACTTCAGTCATAGATCGAATCTCATCAATTCCATGACGAGTGTCTAAACCAATTTGATCTCTGAAGTTGTGATAATATTTGTTGCGATAATTAATATATGTAAGGAATGTGTTTGTTAAAGATACATGAAATAAAGTATCATAAGACTGAATATACACAATACACTATAAGTAATGTTAAGCTACTTATTAGTATTAGTATCAGTAAATTGTTACATGTAATTTGTGATATCCTATAGTTCTGTCTATAATTATTTCAAAATGATTTTAGCACGCAATTTGCAGAATTGGACGTGTATATAAATTACACTGAAATACTATTTAAACACTATATTTTAGCTCAGACCCCAAGACTCTTTCGTTTACAATAAATACACAACTTTACATAGTTATGTATTTACGTGCAGCCTTATAACATTTTGTTCTTAATTGTTATATGAAATATACTAATAACGAGAACAAGTTTCAGCGAAAAGAAATGCGAAAGAATTATTTAATTAGCTTGTCAAATATATTATATTAACTATTCACCTGTTATTAATATTCGGGGAGGTTTAGTTGCATTTTCTGTATTGACAGTCCTAGCGTCACCAGATTCCTTGATTATCTTGCGAAGAGGATTAATTGTTACGTGAAAGTCTCTTTGAACATTTCTCGTAATGTAACACGAAAATCGAATAACACTATTGCAAAACATTATTCAAAAAAGTAATGCACCAAGAGTTCCGAAGAAATCAAAGATCGTATTGTTTTGATATTATTTTTCTTATCGGTCTTTCTATTTAATTTTCTACCTAATTTTAAACAATTTTTCTAAACACGATTATTCTAAAAAAATTATATTGGAAAAAGGAAGATATTTTGTTTGTACTATTTAAAAATGTTCAATTGTTCAATTTGTACTATGTAAAAATGTCCACTGTTCAATTTAAATAACTTCATCGAGATGATATATTTATAGAAAATCTAAAAATTTAATCTTTCCCTGTTGGTGGTCGATAAACAACTGGAAGCTCAAGCAATGATTGCACATTATATCACAGCCCATTTTCAAAACCAGTTAGACCACAGATGCTGTCTCACTAGTGTATATAACAAAGGTTCTTTCACACAGAAGAAATATATTACAGAAGACTGTCATACTTATTAAAATAGACAAACTGTATCTCTAATTTATCTCTTAAATGTTATATATATATATACTGAACTATTCTGTCCGTTGCACAAATCCCAAATTGCTTCCCAAATAATTTCCATGACTTCATCACTACTTCTGATGCCAATTTAAAATGCAAAGACGTATCTCTCGCGAAAGAAATACATTTTTTATCAATCGATGTGAAAAAAAGATATTTTCACAAGAATTCTTGAAAAGAATAAACCGTAACATATATATTGCAAATATATAAATAATTATTTCTGTTCATGTCTCATAATCAGTGTGAATGAATCTTTACGAAAAGAACTTTAAATAGTTCTCAATCTTTCTCCATTCTATGCAAACTCGTTTGACAACATAAAAATTATGTTCTTTTGAAGTAGACACCTATTGCATTGAAGTTATACTTGTTTTAATCACAACATTTTATTCATAGTGATATTTATAAACACCGTTAATTCGATTTCATTGACTACTTTGTCATGGCTATATATTTATAGTATTACATATTTTTAATTAATTCAATTTTTAACAATATATAAATATACGACTTGGTATTTTTTATTTTGTACTTTCTTTTTAAATACGTACTATAAATTTTGTATTAAAAAAAATTGAGTTAAAATTCAGATTTATAATTTTTATTGATTTTATTTGCCTATAACAATGCATATACACATATTGTTTAAAATAATCGAAGGAGGCTTGGTTGATGCGGACCAATAGTGAAGCGATTTTTTCATCGTACGATCCAAAACCGGTTTATTGCTTAGACCTGCATAACGAAAATAAAAACGTGCGGACGTAAATAAGCCACTCGTAGATGCCATATGAATATCAAGATTGTAAAAGAACGTTCTCTCGCACATTTGTCGATACGCGAGATAAGCCTTGGAAACTTTAATCACCGAATCAACGATGTAATGATTTTACTTAATACACCACATTTTTATAAGATAACAAAGTGATTCATTAAAAGAAAAGGTTTATAGTTATATAACTATTTGTAAATTAACGATATTTGTAGCGAAAATTAGTTTTCATCACTGGTAGAGATTTACTGTGGCAAATAGTAGAGCTATAGATTACTATAACATTTAAATTTTATTTGTTATTTGGACATAAAATCTATTTCTGCACTTTTTCATTTAGAATCTTTGCTAGAATATATATTTATTTCGTTTTAGATGCACACATTTTTGGAGATTTTAAGCAACGCAAACAGATTTACAATCATTTATTATTTACACCACTGTCGGTGATGTCAGACTAAAACAATATGCTAACAGTATGTAGAAGCACTATACACGATTAATCATCGAACGTTTAGCTATGATCGTAAATATAAAAAGTGCAAGTCACTAATTTCATAATTCTAAACATATGCAATTTTCTGAGTGTCTATAGATAAATGACATGTTAATATATTTTCTATTAATTATTTTACGCATATTTGTGTTAACTCCACTTTACCAACGATAGCACTGCAAATCTTATGGATACATACAATTTATTAAAATTAACTTTTTTTATCTTTAGAAAATAGAATTTTTTAAAAATATAATGCATTATATAACATTAAAAATTCCATAATAAACATGTTTCAATTCTATAATTTCGAAAACTTGTAATTAAGAAATGAATATGGCACGCGCAACATAGTTAAATAAAAAAATTTTATAGAGATATTTATTTTAAAAAGTATTAATAATTATAAACTTTCAAAATCAATTAAATTATTGAACATTTCCTATTTGAGTTAAAATGAGTAAAATAGTAACATTATTGGACTCCAAGAATTAAAGTAAAATGCTTATAGATATGAGTCTCCACAGTGCGTGACTTAAATATTCATAATGCACGATAAATACAATTTGTAAAATGTATCTATGCGAATTATATCTATCGCGTTATAAATATTTAATTTACGCATTAACATCCACACGAAGACTCACATAGATGTATTTTACTTGCATTAGATTTTCTTCCTGTTTTCACGTATTTATTCGAGCGAATTCGGTCGGGGCGCAATCGACCTCGGTTGCCTCACCATGCGTGCAACGCGGAAAACGAAAGGGAAGATGATTTTTCACCGATGCCGAATTATACCATTCGGCGATCGGTGAGATTTGTGGGGAAAGGGAAGAATTTCCTGGAAGCGTGTCTTCACGGTGGCTGGACACGCACTTCGCAATTCTTTTCCCGTCCCTCTCGCCATCACCCACGCCATGGCACCGTCATCTTCTCCCCTCAAGTTTGTGCAGGCCACCACGCTTTTGCGAACAGCTTCTTCAGTGCATTTAGTACGTAACGAGATCACGAAAAGCTGTACTCGTGACCGGAGAGACGTTGAAAAGGATAAGGCGTGTGTGTGCGCGCACACATGCCCTCGTAAAAAATATATTATTCGTTTTGTGTATAAGACTTGAGTGTAAATAGTTTTCAAAAATTAAATTTGATTTTTTTGGGTGGATTTTTTTTTACTAAAAAAAAACGTACAGTTCTTCAAAAGCAAGACGCTGATTTAGCGAATACTACTGATATAAAAGGTATATAAAAGTTTGTGAACAAAAATTTAAAGATTTACGTTATTTAGAATTTTCTTAAATAAATGTTTATAAAACGGTAACAAGATTAATGCACAACTTTGTTAATCACTTTAAAATACTTTTTTTGTAAAACTTTATTTTAGTCAATGTATTTTTTAATTCAGTGCTTTTCAAGATTTGTATTTCCGGTTGTAATTGACCTGAAGTGTGTCGATGTTCACGCCTACTGCTCTCCTTGTTTCACGTCCATTAAGAAAAAGGAAAGCAATAGGCATAAAAACATTGATATACATCAGTGCCTACAATTTAATGATCTTGATAACATGATATAAACATGAAAGGAGCTTATGTGGAAATAACTAATTTTTCATATTTATATAAATGTATTTAAAAAATTATGTTACTATATATGAAGAAACATTTTAGAAAATATTAGAATCTTATTTAAAACAGATTGCCAAAAATCTACTGCTCGTTATTAATCTAACAATCTATGATACACAAACAGTACATAGTCTTCCTATACAGTTGCATAATGACGTAAAATTAACATCTGCGATAGAAAATGAGATGTACGCTTGAGGTCACTGACGGCGAAATATCAAGGAAGTGAATATCACTTTCACTAAAATTGCATCCATACTTCTTTGAGGCCAAACAAACGCTGTTGTTTGATCAAAATTCAGCTCATTGTAATGATAGAATTGGAAGACAAATGATTTTGTGCGAGTTATGCGAGAAACCAGTTGCAGTATTTATTACACGATGTTTATCCAGACAATATAAATCCAAAATCAAGACATAAAACGTCTTAAAGATGTCTCTTAGACGTCTCTAAGGTGCTTATTTTTATAAAAATGTCTTCAAAGCGTCTTTTAGATGTCTTTGAGATATCTTACGTCATTTTTGAACGTGTGTATTGTCTGAGTAAGTTATTGTAGAAATAATAATATAATAACTTCATTAACTATAAATTATACAAAAAATAATTATAACTAATACAGAACATGTATAATAATATACATAGACGAAGTTATAGCATTAACGTTAATTTAATACTTAAGAGATCTTGAAGAAATCTTTTAACAAGATACGTAACCGTTAATACATATGCAGAGGTAACAAATACCTATGTAAATAAAATCATAGAAAATGACAATAAAATATGTAATATGCAAATTATTCGAATAAAAAGAAATTATTATCTGAAAATTAGTAGTGCAAATAAAGAGAAAAGGAAAGGAGCACAGCTAAAAAGTAACGAGTACAATAAATGGTGTGTTAATTACGCGCGTGTCTCAGTCTGCATAATTATAATTTTATTGCTACCTCTAGGTGTGATCAGTTTCCATGTATAGTATATTATGAATTTATTTATACTAGTCTGTTTATATTGTGATAAAATCTTATGAATTATAATTAAAGTAATATTCAATATTTAGTCTGTTTGTACCAATAAAGATTAACTCTTTAAATTTTATTTAACTCCTTCTAAGAACTCAAAAATGATAAAAAGTAAGTGTTAAACCGAGAATAGAGTTAATCTACATTACGGGCATTAGCAGCTTAGATGTTATAGATCACGTGTTTTTATAAATTAAAAATTTCTTAGCTGTACGAGATTTGTTCTGCCAACCTCCGATATTTATAAATGCAATATCTCCCATTTTTGCTTTAGAATGCATAATATTTTTGCAACAATTAATTGCATTCTATTATTTGAGTTCAATTTCTTCAATCCTACGGAAGTGTCTCGAGATGCGGAAACAGATATATATCAAGACAGATCTTTTTGTTAACGCAACACGTACAATGCAACTTAGATTCGTTTTATCGTGAATCGCGCTATATCGACATTATTTACGTACGAATGATTTTTCAGGCCGCCTGATTGTTTTATCCTAAAGGTTGGCGTATTACGAAATCTACGTTTTTCTGCATGACAGGCTGCTTGGTGAACGCCTTTATCTTTCTATTAACACACACATG